AAAAAGGGGGGGGGAATCTTGAGATAGAAGGAAGCCAAATAAATCAATATTTGCAAAATGTACCATTTAGGCACATTAGCACAGCGTACAAATCTTTAGCATACACATATGATACAAGACCAATATGGAAAGTTGCTTACTTGGATAATTACACTCCAGTTATTCAACAGAGCTTTGTGAGGTAACTCAGTTTGCATGTACCTTAATATCTCTATGTATCCATCTCTATCTCGGTGCGCTTAATTTGCTTCTACTTTTCCCCAGAGCACTAAAGGGTAGTTCATGATTTCAGAAAGATATGGTCTGGCTTCCAAACACCAGTTAGTGTAATTTCAAACTCAAGCCAAGCTTTGAAAAATAAACTAAACAGATCACAAGTGACCTGAGAAGACAGCAGTCAAAACTGATAAATTAATATAAATTCTAAAATTAAATGCAACTATAAACAGAATACAAGAGGAGGATTACAAGAAGGAACATTTACTTTTCCTCCTTAAGTATACACATGCAAAACCAAACAAACATTATCAAGGTTTTGGTTAATATAGGATTGGAAGGGACCTTCTAAATCATAACACTGAGTTCCCTGATATTGTAGGGAAGCACATCATAATCCCTTTATTAAGGAAATAAACTTACAGTTTAAAACTAGTTAAGGTTTCCCCCCGCCACTACTCCTGTTGAAAAGCTATCCCAGAACTTTGTTAGTAGTTAGAAACTTTCTAAGTTCCAAACTAGATGTACTTGTAGCTATTCCACACCCATCTGTTCTTATGCCAACACTGTCTTTCAAGTTTAAATAGTTCTTTTCCCTCTCTCACGTACAAAAAGACGGATCATACGCTTTTTCAGTCTTCATTTTGCTCGACTAAATAGGCCAAGCTCTTTCAGTTTCCTTTCCTTATATCTAAAATTTACTGTATAGCTCTACGTGCCAACAAAATACCATATTTACTCATATCTAAGATGAGGTATTTTCTCCCAACTCAGCGTGGGGGGGAGGGGAGGGAGGGAAGCCGCATCTTAGATTCAGGTACTTGCCCAGGACAAGCAGTGGCTAAGCTACCACTTTAGCCCCAGGCTCTTGGCTGACATCGGTGCTGAACTACCACTGCCCTGGGCTGGAATGACTCACTGGGGGGAATGGGAGGAAGAGACAGGGAAGAAGGGGGTTCATGGCCACAGGCAACACAGAAGAGGCCATGGGATGTGGAAGGGAACCTGCAACCTGCCACCACACCCGCTGCCTCCCCCTCTCAGCTGCCCCCTTCCCCCTTACCTTCTGCTCCAGCTCTAGTCTCTCCAGTGCCAACCCACCCCAGCTGGGAGCTGCTGCTGCTGCTCTCCCTGTCTCTGCTGAGCTGAGACCAGGCCAGGACCATGCTGCTGCTGACTGCCTCAAAGGAGCAGAGCTGCAGCAGAAGGTAAGTGGGGAGGGAAAGGCTACAAGGGAGACAGGCATGGTGGGGGCAGACTGTAACAGGAACAGAGAGACGAGGGGTAGGGGGGAAACAAGGGGTGGGGAGGGCAGACACAGGCATGCCTTGGCAAGCAACAGGGGGGCATACAGAAGGAAAAATTGGCACAGGAGGGGCAAGGAGCTGGGGATCTGGCCCCTCACCACTGATTTCCCCACCACAGCAATGAGTGGGACAAATTTAAGGCAACCTTCCACAAATTAAATTCCATACATGGAAAATTAAAACAAATTTATAATGTTCCATGTATTGAATCTAATTATTGTAGGGGTCATCTTAAATTCAAGCTTGTCTTGGATTTGGGTAAATATAATAATGTGTACAATACAGATTAGGACCCTAATTCTGGAAATGGGCCCTCATTACAGAGCCAGTGTCAAAATTAAGGCCCCAGTTTCAGTTTAGTGCTGTGTCCTGGATTACACAGAATGGTACTGTTTCTTACCCTAACTGTTCTGAAGTTTGCTGCGTCATCTACTCCATTTACTCTGGCAGAATCCAGACCCAGGTAGTTATATCTGCTGAAATCCCGTTCAAGTTTAAGTTTGCCTAATGAATAAAATAAAAATAATATTAATAACCAAACTTCCCAAATGTCTCCTTCATGTCAGGAACTTAAAAAGAGCCCTTAGTTCAATAACAGTTATTAACAATACTGTTAATTTAGTTCAGTTACTTTTAGATTGCAAGTCTTTCAGAGCAAGAATCCAATAACATCCAGCTCAATGGGACTTAACCTTGATTACGTCTTTTAGACTCTATCACAACATACATATTTTCTACTCTCATTATTGTTATTATTAGCAGTAATAATCTGGTAGGTAGGAGAGACACACCAGAGAAACAAAAATTGAAGCATCAGTTGTGAAAATTATTTGAAACAAAAATACTGTGTAAGCGTAAGACTTACAAAGCAGGTCTTCTGAACCACCAGAAAGGATTTGATAGAAGATATGAAAGTTTCTTTCACCTCGTGGTTGTTTAACAACACGCGACTTCTCTAACAGATCTGAAGACAAAGTTACAGGAGTTAGATAGAAAGTGGTATGACAAAAATACTAACACATTTCCTTTTTCCCTTCCTTTTTCTAGTTTATAGTTTTTTTAATCACTTGAGCTGGTCAAATAATGTATAGTGAAAAATACGACTAACAGTATTTTTCAGTTATTTGTGAATAACCTATTTGGCTGACCTAGAAGAAGTCAATATCTTCTAAATGTTGTTAGCTTACCAAATTAGTCATTGAGAGAGAGAAGCCATAACTCCTCCCGCCATACCTGAGAAGCTATAAAGAACTAATTCTACATGAAGTATTTAAAGGGTGCAAGCAGTTAAAAAGGAGAAATATTTTTAGAGTAATATAACGAAACAAAACTAGGAACAACAGGAAAAAACTGAGTAAAGAAAAAAATTAAACAGAACCACAGTGCAATATGTCAGGAGGCATGGAATAATCTCCAGAGGGACCTAATGAAAGCTCCATAATAATGCAACAGGGGTGTAGGTTGTAGCCGCGTTGGTCTAAAGATATAGGCAAACAAGGCTCTTTGAGTAAATCTGATATCTTTTATTAGGCCAACTTAAATAGTTGGAAAACAATTATAGCTTGCTTAATAATTGTTTTCCAACTATTTAAGTTGGTCTAATAAAATATATCAGATTCACGCAAAGAACCTTGTCTGCCTATAATAATGCAAGGCATTTCAAGCCACACTGGAACACTGCGCTGTCAAATAGAATGACAAAATGAGTTATTAGTTCTTCTCCGTTAATGCCTTATATGTTTCTATCGCTTATCAGTGAGGCTGTCTGCTAGACTGTAATGCTTTGTTGGCTCAAAACACAATGAAAAATAAATTTTATAGCACTTTATCACACTTACTACACAAAGGGCAAAGCAAACTTGGTTATAAGACTGAACTGCACTAGTAGTTTTTTTTGGTAGTTTTTTGTTCAGTGCAATGTGGAAATGGGAAGACAGAGAGACAGATCACCTAAGAATCTCACATGTGCTTGCTTATCATACAAGGATTAAGAATGAACTGCAAATGCAGAGGTCCCTCAGTCCCAGAAAGTCTTTCATTCCTCATTTCAGTTAGATACATAAGGGCTCAACCTCACCATCTCAGCCACCTGCAGTATGCAAATTCCTGGATTCAAATCCCTTTAGGTCCCATTCAAAAGGGAGAAAAGCACAGGGGCCAGTATACTGCCACACTGGCTGCTTGCAGACATTTAAAAAAAAACCCCACATACACACAAAAAAACCCGGTGCTTTACTTGAAACTTGATGCGCTCTCCCACTGAGCCCAGGTGTATGCCTGGAGGAGGCAGTGCATTAGTTGGACGCAACTCATCCAATGTCTATATAGATTGGAAGCTTTAGTGGGGCTTTTTTGGCACTTATCTAATAGCTGCTTGACTCAGCTTTAGATACAAGTGCCAGAATGCCCTGCTGAAGCCCCTGATCTGTACAGATGCTGCGGAGCTGGGTCAAAGTAGCATGCTGCTTCTTCTGATAAGGTGTGAAGGGGGGAGGGGTTGTGGGGTTTTTTTTCAACGCCAGCAAGCAGCCATTGAAGACAGTGAAGACAGATATGCTGTTCTATCTGTGTACATCCTGGCATGAATAGGCACCTCAACAGACATGTACATATTCTGTACCATATCAGAGCTTTTTAAAAGATACACATCTAAGCTATTGAAAGAGACAAAGTTATTTTCAGGCTAACTCCAAATCACCTAGCTATTTGTAAACAAAGTCAAGTTTTGCAACTATTTAACTCAGTACTTAAGAGTCACAAGTTGAAAGGTCAAAGCCTCTGAGAATAAAGCCAATCAAAAGCAATTCAAAATTCCTTGCTACATGAAAAGCTACATGGTTAGGTAATATCAGGCATTCATTTCCTAATGCTTTAAGAGTCTCTTTTTGCATCTTGTAGGCTCACTAATCATTGAGAAAATGTGATAACAATGAAAATTAGGTATGTTTTCTTTAGTCACAATAAAATCAGTTACATTAAAAAAAAAAAAAAAATCACACCCCATCTCTGCTGCAATGGAAAAAGGGGCATCACGTTCCCAGTCAATATATAAGTTTTCTGACAGAAAAAGAAAAACTGCCAGAAAAAAAAACCTTGCACTCCTGGACCTGAGTAGTTTTGAGATCCTTTTAAAATAAACAGAGAAACACATGACATACTTCCTAGGTAGTCAACTGATTTTACAATACAATAAAAGTGAAACAGAAGCACAATGCACAGTCGTACCATGTTGTAAACTGCTCTAATCGAGGGTAAAGTTATCCCTTGAAAAATGCATAGTAAAGGTACCACATGGCAAAGTCCCATTATACACTCTATTTTGCCTAGGGACAGAATTTACACAAACCGGTTTAAGTGACTGAAACAGGTTTAAACCTGTAACAGAACAGACATTCAGTGCACATAAACCTCTTTCAAAATGGTCAAAATTGGTTTAAGATAAACCTGGTTGGATGTAATGTCAGATTTAACTGATTTAGGTAAAACCAGTTTATGGAACTTCTGTCCCAGATCCCTTACTGGTTCAAGTTAACTCACAGTCCCCCAGCATCCCAGGATGCTTTGCAGCCCTGGGCTATGTTCTCTATGCCAGTGGGGCAGGGGCTGCTCTGCCCCTCTGCTCCTTAGCCTGCTTCCTGCCTGCACCCATCAGCCCATGGGGGGGGGAGGGAGAGGGAGGCAAACAGACCCCCAGACCCTCCTAGCCCAGATCTACACACTGCCTTGGGGGGTGGGGAGGGAAAGCCCCTGTGGTGGGGGGCTTTTCAACCCTCAGCAGCTCAGCCCCGGGAGCCAATTCTCCCCCCGCACCCCGCACAACTGCTTGCTTTAGGGGCTGCCACAGGAAGGAGAGAGGAGTTCCCAAGGCCCCAGGGGTGTGGGAACTAGGGAGCCCCTGCCTCAGGGGGTCCCTAGCCAGGTGGATGTAACCCTAGGTAACCATGGGGAATTCCCCTCCTCCTTCCCAGCTGCTGATTGCTTCAGCCACTGCCACAGGAGGGAGGGAGAAGCAGTCCTCCAGGCTGGGGGCCTGCCCATTCAGCCCAGCATGGGGGCTTCCCCCAACCCCAATCCAAGGACCCCCAGCCTGGGACAGGCCCAGGGAGCTGAGGGGAATTCTCCTGCTCCTCTGCTGCAGGTTTTGCCACAGATGCTGTAAGTCTGAGGCAAAACCAGTTGCATGGGGAAAGGGTGAATTTCCCTCAGCTCTCTGAGACTCCAAGTGGCTAAAGCAAACAGCTGCAGCTGTTGTGTTTAGGAGGGTAAGAATTCCCTTCAGCTCCCTGGGGCTGCCACGGGTTGGGGTGGGGGGAAGCCCCACAAGGCAGGGGCTCCCCAGTGCCCCCATGCTGGGCTGCATGGGCAGGCATCCCACTCAGAGGACTTCTTCTCCCTCCCTCCTGTGGCAGCCCCTGAAGCAATCAGCAGCTGGGAAGGAGAGGGGGAGACTTCCCCTCACTCCACAGAGCTGCTTGGGCTGGGGAAGCTACCTAGCTTGAACTGATTCTGCCCCAGGCGTTTTGACTGTCTGTATTTAGTCACAGTGTAAGTTTCCATAATCAATTTCATTGTGGGACAGCTATTTGCTCAATGCAAACTAATTCCTCCACTACCTATGGTCAAGTGTCTACTATGAGAAACTAGCTTGGGAAAGTAGGTAATATACCTGCTCCATACCACGGAGTGTGTTTTACTGCAGAGTAAAACGTAGACCAAATTATTTGATAGTTATAGGGTCATGCACTTGCACCATCAGAATAAGCTACTTCCTAATATTTCTCTCCAGATAAGGACATTCTATAGATAGATGAGAGCTGTTTATCAACTGCAAAGGGAGATTTGGATAAGATTTAGAAACTTGGTGCTAAAATTCCATTTCATGTTATTACACACAGAGCTGACCCTAGGGGCAGATCAGCCTGTGAGGGGCCCCCATAACACTGTGCGGGGCCATGGTACCCCCGCAAAGGGTGGTCTCTGTGCCTCTTCCGCAGCACGGGCCTGAGCTGCCAGCTCCAGTCAAGCCCTGCGGGAGGGGTCGCAAGTGCTCCGCCCGGCTCCATGAGACCCCCACAAAGCACAGGGCCCGGGGGTGCTCACCCTGATTTGCTGTACCCTACAGATGGCTCTGATTACACAGCAGTGTCAGTGAGATTATCAGCAGCTCTAACACCATATTTTCAGAAGGATGCCATTAACCAAAAATTATACTAGTGAAATGCTGAGGTTTAAATTAGCTAAAATGCATTTCTCTGCTCAGCATCCTTCTCCCCAACCTAGTTAGGGGGAAGCGCCAATGCATACAAACAAGTTGATAGTGCTTCTATCAACTTTCATTTTATATTTTTATTGTGAAGAGTTGGTTGTCATTAGCTCAGGAAGTTTAGGGAGGTTTGATGAGATCCAGAAGTAGCTGAAGCTACTTCTCACCATTTTTTAACTTTTGTTTCCTTGAATTAATTCAGAACACTAGCAATACAAAGAAAAAAGAAAACCACTAGTGTTCTAAAACTGCATGTGCATTTTCTATGCATCAATAAATCCTATCAACATACACATTTATTTGCTACAGAACTGAGCAAAATTAACACCACCTGCCACTTCATACGCTTCCTCTGGGGTACCATGCAGGGAGCTGCAGAACAGCATTAGAAAAGGAATCCAATATAGCATCAATATTGCACAAAGTCCTACCCTCCCTCTCTTGGAAGGATTCACTAATGACACAGACCCTACTTCAGCCCTTAGGCTAGACAGCAGCTGCAAAGCAGCTATATCTTCTCCCCCTTCTCTCAGCCTTTGGATGAAGAGCCCCCCCCCCCTCCTTCGCATCTCTGAGCATTTCCTGGCACCCAGCTCAGCTTCTAGGAGGAATACCTGGCCCTTAGTGCTCTTGTTGAACACAGGAACAGAAAGTAATACAATAGAACTTATCAATATTTTAGTTAGTTACAAGCAGCTTTT